CACTCAAAAATCTAATCTCATGTTTTTGGACAGAGTTGTTTAATTTATTGGTTCTCCAGCCATCTGTCCATCTTCTTTAATTCTCTTCCACCCAACCTATATTACACATCCTTACATTTTTTTAAAAACCATCTGCCAAATGATTCTTTAGTATGAAGCATGTCTTCAAATTTTGCCAAATTTTAACCAAAAATGTAATTAACATCACAAATCATTTCCAAAGACAAGATACTCTAATTTTAAAAATACTTAAGAGGTTTGTTCTAAAGCACTTTTTTTGCATTCTATTATTTCTAGTATACTGTTGATTTTGCCTGATAACCTTAATCTCTTTACCCAACATAAAAAAAAAAAAATTAAACACACATTAACATAATTCAAAATAATACTAATACTCAAAATAATTTTCAGGAATCCATAGCAAATTACCAAGGAATAGAAAATATCTCTTTAGCTGGCTATAAGATACACTAGATAATAATTTAAAACATTTGTTATACCAAACTGATTGAAAATTGGGTAATTTTAATCTTGCAGGGGAAATTAAGTTAAATTACTTTTTATTTCACGGGGCCCAGGATTTCACTCCTCTCCTGTCAATGGAAAAATTTCCTTTCCCCTGATTCTCTTAATTTCAATACAACACCTTAGGGTCTTAGGGTTCTTTCTTGCCTTTTCCCATCCCATGTTTCTAATTTCTTTCTCAGACACAGAGAAATCTAACTCCCATTATCCTCCATATAACCTATTTGCTCAAAGTAACCAACCTACCAATGTAACTACTCTGGTTGACTTTTGTACATGCCATTTCTGAAACCCTCCCTCCAAAAACCCATTTCCTCAAACACTGGGAACATTACTGCCCTTACTGCTAAACTTCCCAGTGTATCTATATAGTCAAGCTTGAAGGGAAGGGGAATAACAAACAGAGGCGAAGGGAAGGGACTCAGTCATTATTTTAAATTATTTGCCTTAATAGTTGACCACTCTCCTATTCTCCATCTTTCAATATGATATCTTTCCATAACTCCCCTATTAAGGAGTTATTAGCTAACTGGCTATATTTGCTTTTGCAAATTTGACTTCACCATTAAACATAAGAATGTTCTAGAAGTGGTACTCAATTGTTAAACTTGACAATTTCCATCAAACTGGAAAAAAAAATCATGATATAATGAACCATATTAAACCCCTTAAAGCAGAAAAATAACAAAAACTTAAAAACACCATGAACACTCAATTCACAAAGACAACAATATGCATCAAAAAAAGCACGTAAGATTTAGTCAATCTATTACAATATGTAAAATTTATATAGTGCACTTTTTAAAAATATATTTTATTGATTTTACACAGAGAAGAATTGAGAGGGACAGAGAGTTAGAAACATCGATGAGAGAGAAACATCGACCAGCTGCCTCTTGCTCACCTCCCACTGGGGATGTGCCCGCAACCAATGTACATGCCCTTGACCGGAATCGAACCCGGAACCTTTCAGTCCGCAGACCGACGCTCTATCCACTGAGCCAAACCGGTCCCGGCTATCCAGTGCACTTTTATAATATTCTAATTTACTTTATAATTACTTAGGGTTCCATAGAAGGATACTCAATTCTTTAAAATATATAAATGCCCTTGACCGGAATTGAAACTGGGATCTTTCAGTCCGCAGACTGACGCTTTATCCACTGAGCCAAACTGGTTTCGGCAGGATAATCAATTCTTGACTATGAAAGCTGAAAAAGTAAAAATCTGCTCAGCCATTCATTCATCAGGATGAGGTAACATCACCATAAGGCCAGTTGCAAATTTAATAGGAAATATTGTTTCTCTCAGACACACTGTAGCCAAAAGTATCATAACAAGCTCCTTTTTTTGAGTGACTACTATGTTGTTACTCACTGAGAAGTCTTATTGTCTAAAATCAGAAATATCAAAAACACTGCTGTTTAAACATTAATCAGTAAGAACTTCTGCCGGGAGGAGCTACTTCACCTGGACACAGAGAAGCTGGCACAATTTCCAAGGTATGTACAAAGGTTCAGAGGAGGGGTTTTTGAACACAACATTCCATATAAATGTTAACTTTGTAGTTTCTTTTTTTTTTTTTTTTTTTTTTTTTCTTTTTTTTTTTTTCTTAAATTTTTATTGTTCATACAAATGTCCCTTCCCCCCCCTTCCCACCTCACCTTCTGCCCTTTCCCCAACCCCCATTGTCCTCATCCATAGGTGCACAGTTTATGTTCAGTCTCTTCTCACATCCCCCTCTCCCCTTTTCCCCAAGAATCATCAGTTCACTCTCCTTCCATACCTCTGATTCTATTATATTCAACAGTTAATATTGTTCCTCAGATTTTTTTTTAATTTCCTTGGTTTTTAGATTCACTTGTTGATAGTTTCGTATTTGTTGTTCATAATTTTTATCTTTATTTACTTTCTCTTCTGAAAGAACCCCCTTCAGCAATTCATATAATTCTGGTTTGGTGGTGATGAACTCCTTTAGCTTTTTTTTATTAGTGAAGCTCTTTATCTGACCTTCGATTCTGAGTGATAGCTTTGCTGGATAGATTATCTTTGGCTGTAGGTTCTTACTATTCATCACCTTGAATATTTCTTGCCATTCCCGTCTGGCCTGCATGGTTTCTGTTGAGAAGTCAGCTGACAATCGTATAGGTGCTCCTTTATAAGTAACTACCTGCTTAGCTCTTGCTGCTTTTAATATTTTCTCTTTGTCTTTTGCTCTTGGAATCTTAATTATGATTTGTCTTGGTGTGGTCCTCTTTGGATTCCTTTTATTTGGAGTTCTGTGTGCTTCCTGGACTTGTAAGTCCAATTCTTTCCCCAGGTGGGGGAAGTTTTCTGTCACTATTTCTTTCAATATGTTTTCGATATCTTGCTCTCTCTCATCTTCTGGGACCCCCATAATTCTGATGTTGGATCGTTTGAAGTTGTCCCAGAGGTTTCTTACATCATCTTCAATTTTCTGGATTCTCTTGCCTTCTAGCGACTGCAGAGGAGTATCTTCTGGCTCTTTATGTTCCAAATCTTTGACTTGATTCTCAATTTTCTGGATTCTCTTGCCTTCTAGCTTCTGCGGAGGAGTATCTTCTGGCTCTTTATGTTCCAAATCTTTGACTTGATTCTTGCGATCTTCTATTCTGTTTTTAGGACTCTGTATAATAGTTTTTATTTCAGACAATGTATTCTTTATTTCTTGTTGATCCCTTTTCATATCCTCATAAGTCTCATTTATTTTATCAGCCTTTTCTAGGAAACTCTTGAAAAACCTTATAAGTGTGGTTTTGAACTCTATATCCAGTCGCTGTTTGTCCTCCATTTCTTTCGTTTGTGATCTATTTGGTTTAGGCATTTTCGCAGGCAGCTTTCCTGATGGGGCGGGGTTTCAGGGTGGAGCCTACAGCTTTGGCTTCCGTCAGCCCCGCCCTATGCGGCTCCTGAGACTCAGGGTCCTTCAGTACTTGTTGTAAGCGCCTCTGAGAGAAAGGCGCCCTGGATCGCCTGCTACCAAACAGTCTAGTCTCTCCCCCAATGGTCCCGAAACTGGGGTTCAGTTCAGTTGGAAGTGGAGTTGGAGGTGGCGTTCAGAGCAGTCTGGAGCCCCTGTCTCCTTCCCGCCAGGCAATCCCGCGGCACAGCCGGCTGTCCCTTCTCTGCGCGGCGCCGCCGGGACCTCCTTTCGCCTCTTCCCCGGGTTCCGCCTTTCAGCCCGGCTCCCTCTGTGTGAGCCTGGGTCCCTGGGGTCTGGCCTAGGCCTGGGGTTCAGAGCAGTCAGAATGGGGGCCAGCACAGTCGGAGCTTTTATCTCCTTCCCGCTAGGGAACGCCCGCCAGGCACTCCGCCGCCCTCCTCTCCGGCTCTGTCCTCTCCGCGCGCCGCGTGTCTCTGTACCTTAGGCTTTTCCAGCTCCTCCGCGCTTCCTTCTGGTTTTCTCTTGCTTCTTGTTGTAGAATTTCCAGTCAGTCGACTTTCCTGTAGTTCTGGGTGATGTCCATTTTATATTTTAGTTGTATTTTATTGAAATTGTTGAGTGCGGCTGCGGCTAGGTGCCTACCCGAGCAGCCATCTTGGATTCTCTAACTTTGTAGTTTCCAAGACAACAGTACCCTGGGTCTACTGCAAAGTTGAGACCAGATATTGAACCCATTTACACATAGCCCTGCTTTGTTTTACGTCCATCAAAATACAACTTCATTTAAATTTCATCTGAACTCCACCCTTCCTCTAAATCCTACAACAATTTTATCTTTTCCTTTGTTTGGTGAAATGCCTCCCTGGTACCTGTTATATAATCTCCCTCACTGAAACAGACCAGAAAATTTGACTTTGTCAGACTATATGTTTGTCCCTGAAGGTCTTGGGGTGGTGCTGAACAAAAAAGGTGATAGTTGCAGCCCTATGTTTCATGATCATGAAACTCACATAATTATGTGTAACAATGAGACCCGGAAGACAAGGACAAGGTAATTAACTGGTTAAAGCATCACAATTTTAGCTATCAAAGACACAAGTCATGAAACAAGAAAACAGGCTTTATTTTCATCAACTAACCAAAAGTTATACACCCCTTATATGGTCACTGAGTTAGCCAACTAGAGAAAGATCCACTGGTAGAAAATTGGATGAATATCTTCCCATTTTCTCCTCACTGTTGATCATGCCCACTCACATTTAACAAGTTGGGAGTTTGATGGTGGTTGAAAAGAATGACATCAAAATTCAGACACCAACCGTTCTTTGCAGTGTTGCCATGAAAAGGAGAAAACAAACTGAACCACTTTTAAGAAAAAAGGAACTGATCTTCTAGAAAAGATTACTATGTGTAAATAATTCCCTATCAAGATTTGTTGGGACATACTTCTGCTTCCACAAATATTTAGCTTTTCAGTCATATATAAAAATAAAAATAAAAAAGCCACTAGAATTTAAACCCCAGACAAAAGTTCTTTGGAATATAAAAATTATATTAAAATAAATTTTACCTTAAACTCTGACAACCATTCCTCCACAACCCCTTTCTCTGAAGTGAACATCTTTCCACATCTGTTCTAAATCTTCAATCTGAAAATTAACATAGAAAATTGTTAAAATTTTAAGTATGTTTTCTTTTTTTTTAAAAAAATATATATTTTATTGATTTTTCACAGAGAGGAAGGTAGAGTGACAGAGAGTTAGAAACATCAAAGAGAGAAACATCGACCAGCTGCCTCTTGCACACCCCCCACTGGGGATGTGCCCACAACCAAGGTACATGCCCTTGACCGGAATCAAACCTGGGACCTTTCAGTCCGCAGACCGACGCTCTATCCACTGAGCCAAACCGGTTTCGGCTTAAGTATGTTTTCTTTATAGTCAGATTACTATAGGTAGAAATAAGCCAATAAAATTTATTTCCTATTAGTAAAAGTAAAGCAATTTCAACAGAAATTACTGGGTTCATTTCAAAACCAATATGCACAAACAAGCATTAAAAGGCAAGAATTTTGACAAAAGTGTAAGTGCCATAATATGATGAAATTGGCTCTGCAACTTTCAGCTTTCATGAATGCCAGCTGCAAAACATACTGAACATTTTTTCCTAGTTTCAAGTGAGTAATTTCAAATAGATGATGCATCACAAGAAAATTGCAGAAAATATTTTAAAACTGTGTATTTTCAAAAGGACATGCATCCAAAATTGACTTTATAGAAGGCATTAAAGTAATTTAATTTGTTTATATTTCAGTTATTTAAAGAATAACAGTCTACCTAGGCAAGCCACTTGGTTCCCTAAAAGCTTAATATTTATAAAACAAAAGTAAAAGTGGTATTACCCAAGATAATGATTGTATTCAACAATAGCTATTCAGACGATTGGAATTACTTAAGTATAAAAAATTTTAAAAAGGAAGCTTAGGAAATGCAAAACAAATTATCTTCAGCAAAACTTGTCAGAGTTCAATGTAGTTTTCTTCACCCACCCATGTATATAACAGTAGACTTAGAAACTGTTTCTTGAGAAAATCTTAGCTCTACCTAAATTTCCTAACCTCCTAATTCAGGTACAAAAACTGCATTAGGCTTCTGAATTTTCATCGGCATTATCAAGTAGTAGAAACTGAGACAGAATTTTCAGAAACTGAATCCTAATTATATTATACTGGGCATATAATCTTGAGCAACTTATTTGCCTTTTTTCATCTGTGAAATAGGGATAACCATAGTTCCTACTTTTAAGTTGTGGTAAGAATTCCACAAAAAGTTGTAAATAAAGAACTTACTGTAGTACCTACAATAAAATATTATTATTATGCAGTAGTATTATTGAAGAATATCAATTCATACAGTCTCCGCTCAGCTATCTAAATATACAGATTTCCCTTAATGAACAACACAAAGTTTTAGCTAAAGAATAAGTTGTAAAACTTATTGTTTAATTTCCATTAAAAACATTAAGAAAAAAATACATATATATTCATATTCAAGAAGAATTACTTGAGAATACACATTTTATTTTTCAGAATAAAAATGGCCCATTTTTTAATTCTAAATTTCATTCTTGGATCAAGTCAGACAATCAGAAAACCATCTATTTATACAGTATTATTGATTTCCATGAAAAACATTAAGAAAAAGTATATATACATATTCATATTCAAGAAGAATTACTTGAGAGATACACATTTTATTTTTCAGAATAAAAATGGCCCTTTTTAATTCTAAATTTTATTCTTGGATCAAGTCAGACAATCAGAAAACCATCTATTTGTACAGTATTATTGATTTCATAAAACTGTGCATTCAGATAATCTGCACTACACTTTGGAATTATGTCCAAGCTTTTTTTATCTCTATTATTAAAAGTATTATATAAGTCCCCTTTTTTCCCCCTATCGCCTCCCCCCCATCCCCAGCTCACTCCCCATTCCATTATTCCTTTTATATCCAAGAGAGGAAAAAATTCACATCTTCCATTTTTAGTACCAGGAAAATCTATTCTTTACTAGTATACTTCCAATATCCCATCCTTCTCCCCTTTTTCCCTCCCCCCCATTTCTTTCTGTAAATATGTATATATTAATTTCAGAGAGTAATGGAGAGTGAAAGAGAAATAGAAACATCAATGATGAGAGGGAATCATTGATCGGCTGTCTCCCACATTGTATCGAGTCCAAAACCCTGGAATCGAACTGTGACCTCCTGTTTCATAGGTCAGTGCTCAACCACTAAGCCATGCTGGCCAGGCTTGCTTTCTCTATATCTGCAAATGTCTGGAGGCAAACAGGAAGGTGTCTGAATTTATTTTTATTTATCTCCCTCTACCTTACTAAGGAATCTTAATGACTAGCCATTATAACAATATGAGAGCTCTCTAAAAATGTTTTTCTTTCTTTTTCATTTAGAAAGCTTTCCAATTCAAAGGGTTTGTCTATTAACGAGTAGGATCTTAATAGCTACTCAAACTAATATTCTGGAAGCAAGGGACATCCCCAAAGGAGAGTGCAAAAAGATGCAACCTCACAAGATAAAGTTGGCTCCCAGAGTTAGAAACAGCCATTCCAAAATAGAGGGAATCATGTTTCCCACCCTCTTCACCCCCTTTTAAATGGGGTGTCTAGATTTCCTAAGGTCAAATCCACAGCCTACTTGGGTGCCTGCGATATGCATATATATTCTCTAACTAATGGAAAACAAGAATGAGAGGCCCTGTTTTTATCATCCCTGGAAGGAAATGGATATACAAAGAAAATTCCCTTGAGAGCTTAACTTGGCTGGACAGAGAGCAGGATGTACACAAGTGCAACCTCTAGATAGTGGAAGCCAGAGAGAAAGTATTCTCACTGGTCATAAGGTCAAGTTCTCAGGACATATGACAAGACAAAAAAGGAGAGACACCAGACACAGAGAGAAATACAGAATAAAATTCATAACTACTCATACCAAATAACCAAACATTGATAAGCCCAAGAAATTAGTTTTACAAATATTTTCTTTTGCCCTAACCAGTTTGGCTGAGTGAAAAGAGCTTCAGCCTACAAACTGAAGGGTCCCGGGTTTGATTCTGGTCAGGGCACATACTCAGGTTGCAGGCTCAATCCCCAGTAGGAGGTGTGCAGAAAGCAATCAATGATTCTCTTTCATCATTGATGTTTCTCTCTCTCTTCCCCCCTCTCCTTTCCTCTTTGAAATCAATAAAAATATATCTTAAAAATACATTTTCTTTTGCTAATCTAAACTTAGAAAGGGGACAAAAAAGGACTCCAGACACTGTGTTTACACCAGACTGTGCTGGTAGAGAATTGGGAGTCTGATTTGGCAAGATTCTTATCTTTATGTGCTTGCTACAGGTCCTAGGATCTTTCTACTCTAGCAGCTTTAGGGTGAGCAGTGCCCAGCCAGTGAGTTTTTCTGTTTACAGTGCCAACTGTGGGGTGGGGGTGAGGAGCGTAACTTTTCTCTACCCTCCCAGGTTTTTTTGACTAGTCTAATAACTAAATCTACATGAGACAGATTGACAAGAGAAAATAACAAAATTTAGTGATGGTGGGAGGTGAGTACTTAAAATATTGAGGCAATCATTTTGTAACGTATATGATTGTCTAATCACTATGCTATACACCTGAAACTAATACAAAATCACATTGAATGTAAAAAAAAAATTAAAACACAAATTGATTATCATATATCAGTTTGAATGTTGAAGCAGTTATAAGGATCCAACTGTGTTCTATTAAGCTAAGTCATTAAAGAAATTTGTTAAAATGTGAAACAAAGCCACTCTTCCCAATACTTTTTTTGTTTAGGAAAATTTATTATAAAGATTATCCTTTTGCTACTAAATTATGGTACTACTTTCATCATAAATCAGGTAATCATGTATGTGTAGGTCTGTTTCTGGCCACACTGTTTCATTGTCCCTTTCTCCCCCGCTCCCCACCACCCCCCGACTCTTATAATAACACACTGGCTTAATTACTCTAGTTTTTGGTAAGCTTTATATAATAGTAAGCCTTGATATTTAGAAGTCCAAGTCCTTAAGCTCTGTTGTCCTTAAAGATTACTTAGACTATTCTTGATCCTTTGCATATCTCTGTTGATTCCTTTTAACCTTTTAAAAATTAGTCTCAGTCCTGACAGAATGGCTCAGTTGGTTGTGTCTTGTTTAACAAGAAAGGTTGCCAGTTTGATTCCTGGTCAGGGCACATAACTGTGTTATGGATTTGATCCCCAGGAAGGACACATTCGAAAGGCAACCAACGAATGTTTCTCTTTCACATCAATGTTTCTCTCTCTCTTCCTCTCTCTAAACATTACAATGGGTGAGGATTAAAAAACAAACACACAAAAAAGAAATAAAAATTAGTCTCAATTTTAAGAAGAACATATTTTTGGCTGAGTCAAACCAACTAGGGCTATTTTGTAAGAATGTTACCTCAATTTTCTATGACTTGATGTAAACTAATTCTATTTGTGATAACTTTCTATCCTAATTTACTAAATAAACAAATAAATAAATAAATAAGTAAATAAAACACATCATGTGCATTTATATTTACTGAATTTCACTTTGCTTCACAAATGTGTATAACAGGATAAAAACAAACAAATCCATGCAAAAAGAAAACAGGAGTAAGAGTATAATATAAAGCAAAGGTAAGGTTAAATCAGACTTGTTTTTTTTTTATTTTGTTTTGTTTTGTTCTGTGTGTGTGTGTGTTCTGAGACAGAGGACAGAAGCTTTGACTCTCATTTTATTAGCATCAGTACAAGAGAATCAATTATGAGATCCATAATATGAAAGCAAACGAGTTACTCTACTAGTATGCGTAACTCCATCTATTGAAAAAAATCCACCCCATTAACCGGTACACCTAGTAACCATTCTGCACTTATGAAGAGAAAAAAACAAAAGGCAAAATCTTATTAAAAGATAATGTATATATTTTTATGTCCTAGGAACTGAATTTGGTAACAGGTTGGAAGCTCCAAAGTATGGCCAAGCAGAAATGTGTGCTTAAATCCATTTATGGCTATGGTCCTACCAAACTGCTGC